CATCATCATCCCCCCTCCTTTTCCTCCTCCTTTTCCTCCTTCTCCTCCTCCTTATCCGCCTGCCCAATCCCTCCTCTCCCTCCGCCACCTCCTCCATCCTTCTCTCCTCATCATATTCATCATCCTTCTCCCTCCTCCCTCATACATCCATCCTCCTCCTTGTCCTCCTCCTCCGTCGAACGGTTCGGCTGTCCCTCTCTTTGCTCCTACACTTCCCTCATCACCTCAACTCGCCTGGGCGTCGCTTCTGGATGGGCTGGTGGAGATGCGCGAAGCGTCAAGATTTTCTTCGATGGGCCCTCGCGCTAAATGGTCAGCCGAGAAGCAGCTCAACGGTGTGGAAATTCACTCGTCTGCTCGCGGCGGCGTCATGGTCGCCCCTCGGCGGGCACCGAAACCAAACTAATGAGGATCCGGTGGAGGTGGAGAGGCGGGATACGGAGGGATAAACGAACAGGGCGAGGTGCAGGAGGGGAAGAGGGCGACACGTAGGGATAAGTACAAAGGCGCGGGTTGCATATGTCTTCCAGCGCGCGCCCCAAACAGTGAGCTAGTGCGTTCAGTATGTGCCATATACGAAGCGCACTGCAGGCGGTGCAATTTCGGCGTTGTCATCTAAGCGGTTCAACTACTGTGGTGCAACCTACGTTGTACATGTTGCACCCCCAGGTTGCGCCAGAGGTTGCGGCATGGCCATAAGATGCGCCGTGGGTTGCCTCGTTGATTGCGCCATCGGCCATAGGGGTGGGCTCGGGCGCGAACGTGGCGGAACCTCGCCCGACCCATCCAGTGTGTCGTGCCGTATGCTGTGCCTTAAATTGCGCCATAGGGGCGGACTCTGGCGCGAACGAAGCGAAATCCTCTCAATCTGTTGCGCTATAAGTTCCGCCGTAAGGTCAGGGCGGGCGCGGGCGCGAACGTAGAGAAACGTCGCCCGACCCATCCAACTACTTATCAACGCGAGTACGACCCCACTAAGTGAACGCACGGTTTGGGGGATCTGTCCCACGAGTCGGCACGCGCGCGCGAGGCGCATCTACGGCTAACGCCCTTCGCGAGGACTGGGCCGTCCAATCTGCGACATCCGCCAAGCCCAATGCTTGAGCTCAAAACCCGCGGGGGACTTACGATAACTGGTTATCCAAAGATGCGAAACACCCGTGGTGCTAGCACCCGTGATCGAGGCTCCCGGGTGTTGTACCGCAAGTGTGCTAAAGTCCTTGCTTGACGAACGGATCGAATTCGAGACATCATATTCTTTAGGTTTGGATAGTGTTCCCGATGTTCCGAGCTGGTAACAACTTCGAGTCCTCGTCCTCGCTTAGTTCCTGTGCGAAGTCAACTCCTGGATCAGCTGCGCGGGGGGGGACTCTTTCTGCTACTCTTGCGAACTTGCCAAGTACTTTCGACAACTTCTCGTGTACATTCAATGAGGGGGCCAGTACCGCCGACTTGCTCGGAGCACTGGATCGCATTCAGCAAGGTGGTGGTTGAGAATTGTAAAGCTCTGAGAAAACTTGCATCTCCAGATTTGGAGTGGAGCAATAGGAAGTCATCGATAAGCATGGGCAGCGAGATGTGACCCTTGCTCGTCTATGCATCTGGAGACTCGATGTCATCTATCTGCATCAATAAAGTGGCGAAGCTGCCTCTTGCTGGGATGCCTTTCCCAGGGAAGCCCGCATGCGATGTTTGGTTATTTCGGGTGGCCATTATCTGACATTACCATGTGCATGTGTTAAGAATAAAGACAACCTAGCTTCATGCAAGCCGACATCGAAAGCTTGTTTGCGTAGCTTTTCTCCGTTGAAGTGCTCGTGCTAGTTCGTCAAATCCAGCCGTCCTGTTGGCCTTCTCGGGCCCCTTGGGCCGTCTTGAGGCGATCTTGGGGGCCTGTGGGGCCGTCTTGGAGCGCCGGGAGCCCGAAAAGGCGAGAACGCTGAAATCATTCAAGCATCCACGGAACATCACGGATGTTGGTCTCCTGAAGGTCTTCTTGAAGCTTTCTTGAAGCGTCTTGTGGGCCTTGGCTTGGGCCATCTCGCCGCCATCTTGCCCGTCTTTGAGGGATCTCGGGCCATCTTGGAGGCAAGATCTGGACCATCTTGGCTGTTTGGGACCCGTCCTAGAGGCCGTCTTGGGGCATCCTGGTGGTCTTGGAGGCGTCAGGGGGCGTTGCCTCCCGCCTTTGGGGCGGATTGTGGGTTCTTTCAGGTGGCTGGCGGGTTGGACCGAGAACCCACTGGGAGCCTTCAACACAAACAATGTCGCTCAGGCATTTGGCACGCCGTGCACCACTGGCGACGGATCGAAGACGCCTGCGGCGAATCACCAGAGGAGGAGGGGGAGGAGGAGGAGGAGGAGGAGGAGGAGGAGGAGGAGGAGGAATTAGGAGGAATAGGAGGATGAGGAGGAGGCTGCTTTTTGAAAACTCCCATGCGGCCACACGCTGGACCGACGCCTGGCCAGGCTCTTGGACTGCGTGTTCCCCCTGCCATTTTGTGGAACCCCTTGGGTGAACACTGGGGGGAGACAGAGGAATGAGGAGGAGGATACGGTAGGTTCGTGTCGTGTCGACCGGCGGCGACCCCGCCAGCGGCGTTCAACGTTGAACGCCGCGGGCGACCCAGAATCATTCGATGTGGAACGATTTGGACGTTTCGGACACGGCCGATCGTTCAAGGTCGAACGATCCCCGCGGTGTCAGAAACCAACGCCGAAGTCGGCACGACACGAACCTGACGTACGGAGGAGACGGAACTATGCGGGACTATGCGGAGAAGACGTCCACAGCTCTGTGAGCACAATGGAGCCTTGAGGCTTGCGGGGCCCCTCTGCTCGAGGGGGGGCCCACGACGAAAAATAGCCAAAAAGAATGGAAGGCCCCGCGCCGCAGGGACCCCCAGCAGGCCCCAGCAGCCCCCCCCTAGTAGGGCAGCCAGGGCCACAAAACCCCAGGGCGACGTGGCCGCACCGGACGCGCCGTGCAGCCGCACTGCCCTGGGGTCCAGGGGCCCGCGCCAGCAGTCGGGCCCCCGCTTCCTGCACCTCGCCGCGCCCTCGGATCAGGCGACGGGTGCCGCCGCACCGCGGTCCAGTGGACCCTGCGGGCGCGCGTCGCAGGCCCGAGGGGAGCCCGCGCAGGAGACCGAGCTGTTAGGCTTGATCGTCGAAAAACGATACCAAAATCCTGCACCCATCGCGCCCTCGGAACTGGCGATGGGTGCCGCCGCGCCGCAGTGCGGGCATGCGTCGCAGGCCTGAGGGAGCCCGCGCCAGACCGCCCCCCGAGGGGGACCCCAGGAGGAGGAGGGACACCGAGTAGGACGGGCCCAGGGACCCCGCGCAAGGGGGGCCTGGCAACGGGGGGCATCCCGAGCCCGCCCCACCCAGCACCCCACCCCCACCTAGGGGGCCTGGGCGCCCAAGCCCCCCCGCCGCCCTCCGCCTTCTCCGGCTAGTCCCCGGCTCTATTTGTATCCCGCCGATACAGGCGGCAGTCGACCACTTTGGGTTCCCCGACCGTCCCGGTGTGCTCACCGGGCCCCCGGCTTATGCGGGGGGGGGAACGGAGGAGACGGAGGAATATGATGATGATGATGATGAGGAGGAGGACGAGGAGGAGAAGGACGAGGAGGAGTAAGACGAGGATGCCTCCTGAGGCTCTCTCGGGACCTCCTGGGGGGCTTCCTGGGAGCCTCTGGGGGCCCCTGAGGGGCCTCTTGGGGGCCTCCTGGGGCCTCTTCGGGGCCTCTGGGGGTCTCTGCGGAACCTCTAGGCCTTCGGAGGCAATTTTTGGGTCCTCTTTGGGTAGTCGTGGCTCCTTATTTGGGCGCTTTAAGGCAGTCTCAGGGGTCGACGGGGCCATCTTGGCGCCGTCTTGGGCCGTCTTGGGGCCCTCTTGGGCTGCCTTGCGGGCCTCTTTGGGCCCCTTTGGGCCGCCTTGGGGCGGTCTGGGGGACTTTTGGGCCGTCCTGAAGCGTCGTAAACCCGCATATGCGAGAACGCTGAATTCATTGAACAGCATATGAGAAATCACTTACCCTCCCCTCTCATTTTCTGGGCAGCGTTCCGAGTGTTTTGCGGGTTGAGCCGAGAGTTTTTCGGAATATTTAGCGCCATTCAGAAGTTTGGTACGCTGTGCACACCTGTGGCAAGCCCACAGGGGGCGGCGGATCGAAGCCATCTACGGCGAGTCACCGCCGCCCCCTGCCTTTCGGAAGTGCCTATGTGGCCGAACGCTATGGCCAGAGCTCAGCCAAGCTATCGGATCATGTGTCCCCCCCCAGCCGTTGTGGAGACTTTTCGGGTGACACGTGGGGGAGAAACAAGAAGAAGCAGAGAGATCAGAGATCTCTTTGGGCTTCCCTGGGGGTTCTGTCGGAGGCCTCTTGGAGCCCTCTCGGGCCGTCTTGGGCTACCTGGGGCCATCTTGGGCCATCTTTGGTGCATCTTGGGCCGTCTTGGAAGCATCTTGCGGCCATATTGGGCTCTTTAGGCGCCATCTTGACCGTCTTGGAAGCATCTTGGATGCCATCTTGAGCCATTTTCGCCGTCTGGGGCGGAAAGACCAATGACCTGGGAGGTTGACGGTCCTCTTGGGAGCCGTCGCGATCGGCCGAGGCTTCGCTGGGAATCCCAAGCAAGGGCCAGGTACTACCTCACGTCTGGCACGCCGTGCACCCCTGTGGCAAGCCGCAGGGGGCGGCGGATCCTACTGGCCTTCGGCCCATCCCGCCACCATGCCTGGATCGTGCAACAGAAGCCTCCGCCAGTTCCCTCGGGGGGCCTCTTGGGAGTCCTGCGGTCGTCCTGGGCGGGAAAGGTTTTGGGCACGCTGGAGGCTGGAGGCGGAGAGGTGTAGGATGATGCGAATTGTGGTGGGCCAGACCGGACAGACCGCTTGCGATCGCGATCTCCGATCTCGAGCTGTCTGGCTGGCCAGATCAGGGGCACCCACCCTCGACCCCCGATACGGGCGCGCGCGCACGCGCGCCAAGGATTTCTCTTCGTCGAAGCGCGACGAGCTGTGCCTCTCGGCTGGCGACCAGATCCAGATCTCCTCTTGCAGCTCGGACTTTTGGAAGGGGCGGCTGAAGGGCAGCAAGAATGAGGCTGCCCAGCGGGAGGAAGGGGGCAGCCGCAGCAGCAGCGGCAGCACAGTCAACCCTCACAGTAACGATGAGCTGCGGTTGCGGGCCAGGCAGGCCGCGCATCGTCGCGCATCCAGCGAGTAACGCTCGAGGGTGCGGGCCAGGCAGGGCGCCCTGGCGCATCCTTGCCACCGAGGTAGGCGCCGCCCATGGACGCCCTTGAGGGTAGGCGCCGTGCCCGCATGCACGCGCGACCTTCAAGGGTATCCTTGCGCCCTTGTGCTGGCCTCGCTTGTGGCCCAGGCGCCAGTTCGGCAAGGATTGGGGTGCGTTAGGGTACCCTTGCATCCTGCAGTATTCGGCTGTGCCCCGCTGGAAAAAACGTCAACATGGCTTCCCACGGCCCCTGCATCCTTACCGCGCATCCTCACTACACGGTCTGACTGTAGCAGGAGCTGGCCAGATGTCTGGAAGAGCACGACCGGTGCACGGCGAACCCCTGACCTGCCAGGCGAGCCAATCAGGCATATCGCATTCCACCGGGGTTATAGTTTCGAGGGACATTGTCGTCGAGTCCTGGAGCTAAAACACTTTTCCTCTTGAAAGCCAGGCCACCCTCTCCCTTCCGCCATTACCCCTTCCTCCCGCTTGTCCTTCTCGTTCACCTTCTCATCATTCGCCTCCTCCTTCCTCCTCCTCCGCCTCTTTCTCCCTATCATTCCTCCTCCACCTTTCCATTTCATTTCCTTTCCCTCCCCTGGGAGGAGGCGGAGGAGGAGGGGGATCAGGATCATGATCATTGTTGGTGCTGGTTGTGCCGACGATGCTGATGATGGTGATGATGATAATGCTGCTGATGATGCTGCAGTTGATGATGATGGTGATAGTGGTGGTGGTGATGATGATGCATATGATGATGATTCTGCTGACGATGATGATGATGCTGATGTTGTTGATGATGATGATGACGGCGATGGTGGTGGTGATAATGTTGATGATGCTGCTGCTGCTGCTGATGACGATGATCATGATGGTGATGATGACGATGACGAGGACGATGACGACGATGATGCTGATGATGCTGATGATGCTGCTGATGATGATGCTGATGATGACGATGACGATGCTGATGGTGATGATGGTGATGATGATGGTGTTCGTGATTCTGATGATGACGATGATGATGGTGGGTGTGGTGGTTGTGGTGGCGGTGATGGTGACGATGCTGCTGATCGTGGTGATGATGCTGCTGCTGATGATGATGATGATGCTGCTGATGATGACGATGATGACGAGGATGAGGCGGAGGAGGATGCGGAGGAGGAGAAGGAGAAGGAGGCAGATGAGGATGAAGAGGATTATGATGAGGAGGATGAGGATGAAGATGAGGATGAGGATAAGGATGAGGATGAGGATAAGGATGATGGTGGTAGTGGTGATGATGCTGCTGCTGATGATGAAGAGGAGGAGGCGGAGGAGGAGTGAGGAGTGTGGGCATGGGGCTGTTGAGTAAAAGATGAAGAAGAAAAGGAGAGAGTTGTGAGGAGTAAGGAGTGAGGAGTGTGAATGGGGAGGAGGACTCTGAGTGAAGAGTCGTCGTCGTCGTCGTCGTCGTCGTCGTCGTCGTCGTCGTCGTCGTCGTCCTCGTCGTCGTCGTCGTCGTCGTCGTCGTCGTCGTGTGTTTCTTGACGTGGCGCTCGACACCCCGACTCCGCGACCGCCTTCCTGCCGCGGGCTGTCCGTCTGATGGCCCTCGGGGCTCCTGAGAACAGCCCCTCGGAGGCCGACGCGTTGCAAGAAACAAGCACTTAGTGATACCACGCGACGCCTGGAGGTCGGGAGGAAGAGGAGGATCGACACCTTTCCCCCCCCACCCGCTCGACCCTCGGCTCAGATCGGTCATGTCCTCCCGCATGCGGACTTTGTTGGAACAAACTTAAACATAGTAAGACAATCAGCAAACACAGTTAAAATAACACGACACATCGTTTCCCTGCCCATTTGTTACCTTTGAATATTCCTCCTGTAGAGGGACATGCACCCGTACACCCGGGCGGGCCGCAGAAATCGGCGACACACCTCACCTAACCATATGAATCTGCTAGGACCCCTGCATAGGCAAGCTCTGATTTGGGAGACATAGTCAAAAGAGCACGAAACATGGTCACCTGCCTGTTTTGTATATTCCTCCTGTAGAGGGACATGGTGATGCTGCTGATGGTGGTGATGATGATGATGCTGCTGATGATGATGATGATGAGGAGGAGGAGGAGGCGGAGGAGGAGTGAGGAGTGGGGGGCTGGGGCTGATGAGTAAGAGATGAAGAAGGAGGATAGTCTGAACTCTTGAACATTCCTCCTGTAGAAGTGCATACCTGCCCAACTCAACTCTCGGCCCCCGAGGGCTTCTTCCCTGCCGACAGCGTCCGCTTGGCGAGCCGCCCCGTCTCGCGCTTCGACCTCGCCGGCGCCCCCGACGAGGGCGCCGACGGCCCGATGACCGTGGTGGTGATGCTGATGCAGGCCGCCTCCTCCTCCTCCTCCTCCTTTCCCTCTTCCTCTCCCTCTTCCTCTTCCTCCTCCTCCTTTTCCTTTCCCTCGTTCCTCTTCCTCGCTCCTCCTACCCCTCCTCCGCCTTTCCCTGCCCCTCCTCCTCCTCCTCCTCCTCCTCCTCCTCCTCCTCCCTCCTCCTCCTCCTCTCCCCCTCCTCCCCCTGCCCCCCCCCTCCCCTGCCCCTCCTCCTCCTCCTCCTCCTCCTTTTCTTCCTCCTCCTCCTCCTCCTCCTCCTCCTCCTCCTCCTTCTCCTCCCCCTCACTCACTCACTCAGGGCGGATAATGTCGATGACAGAAGCCCACCAATCCTACCCCAAGCACCAACTGCTGGGTGGGAGGGAGGTTAAAACGAAAGAACAAATCAGGTGAAGCGGCGCAGCATGCCGCAATCAACTCCGGCAAGTCCGTCCCCGCGTCGTCCGACCTCCTGTCATATCAGGTCCCCTAATCCACCTCGATGGTTGAGCACGTGCGATGGGAAAAAGAGCGGGGCGCTCGGCCAGGGACGTTGTGGCACCGCCAAGCAGATTCGCCCACGCACAAGCGTCCATCCCCCAACCTCCTTCGTCCCCCCCTCCTCATCTTCCTGACGGTGCCGGGGTCGGCGCCCAGTGAAACGATGGGATGCCTAGACTTGGGGTCCGTGGTGGGTGAAGCCATGTCCCTGTTGTCGTCCCCTGAAAAGGGCGGTGCTAGACAGGGACCTGGTACAAGCCGCGGACAGAAGGGCTGCGAGGGAGCACAGCTGACGCCGCTACGAGTCGGCACGCGACCTCGTGCTGGGCACAGTGGGGGGGGGCAGGGAGGTCCAGCGGGCGTGCTGATGCAAAGAGGTGCTTTTTGACTGGCCGAGTCGTCCCTTGCGTCAGGTTGACGTCTAGGCATCGAACTTGGTTGGGCTGCGTTGAATGTGAAAGAGGGGAGGGGGGAGAAGTAGAAATTAAAACAAACGCGCGGCCCAATCAAGATCGCTATGAAAAGAATGGCCATACCGCGCCGCGAATGCCGCAATGTAAAGCCAGAGGCTCGCACCACATGGGTGAATCGAAAAGCGATGGCAGCGTGCAGGGTGAATCCTAAGAAGTAACCTCGATGCGCCCGCGATTGCCGCATGCTCTCCTGGGTTTTGGCGGTTCGCTCCAGTAACCTCCCGCTGCCCCCAAACAGTGCAGGAAAACGAAAGACAGACCGTTTGGTGTCCGCGCATGCTTAATGACATGTTCTTCTCGTGTTTAGCACGCGAGCCCTCTGGAGCAGAGAAGCGACAGCGAACGAGCGGGCGGGGAGAGGAAGATGTGGGGCGGCAAGCGCATAGCGAGGACGGCATGATGTGGTGGCGGTGGCGCTGATTCACCCGACAGCTACCTCTGCTCTCGGTTAAAGCCGCGGGCGCCCTGGCCTGCTCGAGCGATATACGTGCACGCCCCCCCCCCGCTACCCCCGTACGCCGACTATTGCAAGGATGCAGGTGGAAACAAGAACTGTAGCGTGGAGAATCGGTGGCAGAAGCGTGTAGCGAGGACGGATGTTGTGGCGGCTATGGGACTGTCTCGATTAACAGGTGCTTCTGCGCGCGGCGACAGCCACGGCAGCCCAGCCTGCTCGAGCGACAGACGAGCGCGTTCCTCCCATCCCCGGCCCCCAACCCTCTCTAACTGAACCCCTCCCTCTCGGAGCCACAAGAGAGGGAAGAAGAAGGATGAGGAGGGAAACCAGGAACAGGAAAGGACATTGGGCGGGCAGGAAGGGAGGGGGAGCTAGGGAGAGGGCCACTCACGGCGGGTGGTCTGGTAGGTCAAAGCGGACTCTGCGTTCGGGACGCCCCTGGTCCGTCCGCAATTCTGGTGGAGGCCCTTCTGGATCAAGCACGGTGGTCTGATCCACCGTCCGCGCTTTCATGGGGTCAGATGTTCGAGGCAGGTCCAGCTGTGACGAGAGGTGCGGGGTACTCGGCGACATAGCCCGAAGGGCTAGGTGGGGGATCCGCCAAGGGGGTCCCGAGGGGGGGTTCCCATCTTCTCTCTTTTTTGGCCTGAGGCCGGGTCCTCTCCGGGATGGAGCGCCCACGGGGGCTCGGCCCAGTGACCGTCCAGGCGGTTCATCTCGAAGGTGTTCTGGGCGTGGCCGAAGTGCGAGCTAGCCTGGTAGAGCAGATCGGCAGATGGGATGTACGGCGGCAGCACGAGGCCCCCTGAAGCCGGAGCGCCGGAGCGCTCCCACTGGGTAGTGGCCTCCCCGATGTCGTCAGCGTAGTGGCCACTGAGCGCGGTGTCCTCTGCGTCACTGGGTCTGGTGGGAACCGTGATGCCCTCGAATGCGAACGCCTCCTGGCCGACCTGGGTCGGGCTGATCCGTAGCACGATGTGCCTGGTCCTGCCGTTGGCGCTCTTGTCGGTACTGGTGCTGGCGTCGGCGAAGCTGCAGGCGCCAGCCCGCGCATGCCTCGCGGCTGCCTCGATGGCGAGTCGGC